CAAAAAAGACAATGAAATAATGTTGATTAAGCCATAAAACATAAGGAACTTACAAGCGAATTTTCCCTCTCTGGTTTTCCTGCGCGAACAGTTACAGAACCAATCGAACCATGAACCATCAGTAAGAACACATAAATCTAAGTAATCGATGAATATAAAGAGATAAATAAAAATTTATCACCATTTTGGAAATTCTTGCTGAAATTTCCAGACTCTTTGAAAAGCTGCTCAAAGTGAGGCTTGCAGTAGAGAACTCCATCCATGGAAGAGTAGTTGCTCATCTGCCAAACACGACATTTTGCGAAAAGATACATATATAAATCCCATTTTTCCCAAAATTTTCAGAATCTTTATTTTGTCTCACCTCATATGGCCATTCATAGTTTGACTGTTTGAGTATATTCAAGAAAGACCAATAAAACAGATACTAACGAAAGATCAATTTCGTAATAATCCACAAAATAATATTAATGTATAATTTGTTTAGAAAAATGAAAAAACGCACGACGAGGGTCCCTTTGCAGTGGCTACATTTGAAGCATGATTTGTGGAAAGTTGCTCCGTCTGCCGACAACAAGTCAACGAAATAAACTGTCTTGTCGCAAGCCTTGCACTTATCAAGAGTTCCTGTGAATGCTGCCATTTTCTTATTCTTCTTCTTCTTGCTGTTATTATTATTATTATTCTTTGTTCTTGCTGTTATTCCCCCTGAGAATCTCAATAACTTATGCTGCTATATTTCTTTAGGATCAACTGCAAATTTCAATCCTACTTTTAAGCTATTGAGAGACCAAGGGGAAATTCTTTGTTCTGTAATAACACAAGTGCTTTTATATCAACTAACCAATTATAGAAGACGAAAGGTGCAATTTTTTTCTCTCTTTTTTTTCTCAATTTTTTTTTCTCTTACAAGAATGGATGGATCAGATTGAAAAATTACTGATGATCTGAAATAGGACACGTTATTGGAGTTCCCATGATTCTTGGACTGGAAAGCGGGTTTAATTTAAGTAGAGAGAATAATGGTTGACTTTTGTGAACTTTTTTTTTTTAAAAAAAAAAATTCCTTGAGGAAAATGTGTTTAATTTTTTTTCTTTTAGCGAGTGTGTGTTAGTTACAAATGGTCTTTCAAGAAGTTTTCCACCTCAGATTTTGCAGTTTTGTCGCAGAAGTGTTTTCCATTGAAAAATAATGCTATTAGGTCAACAATCATCATTTACTCCAAAAGCTTGTGATGGGTTGATTAGTATGTGTACATTCAATTTTTCTTTATATATAATAATTATTATCATCTCCGTGTTAGTAATGCAAGCTTGTGAAGCATATATTTCAGATTTATCCCGAGTCAGAAACATATGACTAAAATACATTGAGTAATGAAATATATCTCAATTTTCACTCTCAACCATTATGATAAATCCCTAAAGAAAACGCTAATGAATTACGAATGATTTCATTAATACCTATCAACTAACCAAGTTTCAAAAGTTACTACATCACATGTCAATTCACCAGAATTTTGGAATTAACTCCACTAAAAATGACAGATGAAGAATTTTCTGCTTGAGAAAAGAAGATTTACAATACAAAAAAAGTGCCAAGAATTCTGCAAATTGTCTTAAACACGAAAGTACAAGAAACAGGCTTCATGATCGGGAGCTCACATCAATAGTACAAAAATCAGAAAAATAAATATGGAGTTCAACACATGATCTCTAGTTTAACTTCCAATGGTGTGAGAGTAGAAAAAGTACAAGACAACAGCAAAATTAGCACGGTCGATAGAGTCTAATTCTGACTCACAAAGTGGGTATTCAGAAGAAGATTATTGATACTCCCATTGTTAAGCATCCCATAGCCACCCACGGGCTCAGTCTCTCCCCTATTTCCAGGAAGAAGGTAAAAAAGAAAAGGTGAGTGAGTTCATGTAGAAAACATTGACTAATTATATACCATTGGAAATAGAACAATAGATGATGGTATCAATAAATAGAGAGCTGTTTTAACAGCCGTAGAGCAAAAACGCTCAAGAAGATATTACTTAAGCATTATTTGTTAAAATTCATATAATGATGCTCGTGCATAGAATTAGGTGAAGCAACTGCAAAAACATAGAGCTATGTAGTGGAATTGACTCAGCCAATAAAAATACAATTAAACATTTTTTTAAAAGTTGAAGGTCGTGTTTACAAGTCAGAAACCTTAGGTCATACGGAAGAAATGAAATTGCAACTGAGATGGATCCATTCTACTATACTAATTCTAGATATCAACATAATGTGACTCCTTTATATGTGTCGATTTATAATTTATTTAATGGGTACCTATTCTAGCAGCCTTCCAGAAGACACCTCGAAACCTGACAAGTTAGCACAAAATCAGAATAGAGATGATAATAATGCTGACAGCCAATAGAAAACAAATAAACATAAAAGTAAATTATCATATGAAGAGGCAAACCGTGAAGTCGCACCAGACAAAGTTGTACAATGTCGCAAATGTTCTTTCTTGTCATTTAACTAAAGCAAAGTAGTGCACTTATCCAACAACAAACTCCACAAATTAGTAAAAGGTCCTCAGAGTTCAGACAATCAGATTTCCAAATCAAGCATTGGTAAATTCTAATAACTTGATTGCAGTAAGAAGTGTAAACATTATTTTAAACCAAGGTTACCACTCAAACTTTATAAAGACTCACTTTGCAATTATGCTCTTTTTTGGTGACTTTTTTCAAGGAAATATTTGGTCCTCTTAAATTAGGCACAGATGAAGTTCAAAAAGACACTATTGCCCGACAAATTGCATTATGCCATTTACTGTTGCAGGATTACTATTCGCAAGAGAGATTTAAATTAGTCTTCTTTTCAAGCTGTGGCAAATAATCTCTTCAAGAACAACATAATGGTCCCATGAGATATCATCACAATTTACAGATTTCATCATTATCCCACTATTGTAGAACTCTTTCTACCCGCAACAGAAGACGAGGAAAAAAAAACAACAAATTCGCAAAAAGTGATAGCTTTAGGAAGTTCTGGGAAGATGCTTTCAGTTGGTCAATTAGCTAATGCCTAACGATATTCATCAAAGACTTTCCAACTTAACCAAGAGCTATCCTCAAACATTAGTTACAGTACAGCTACATACTGATGGGAGTTCTTACCCAGTTCTCTGTTCAAGAAGCGCCGGAAACTGAATCTTCACATACGTGCAGGCACAGATGCCTAACAAAACTACCGTGAGGAAAGAATGGAAATTGAAGAGAGCCGACTGAAAAAATCGAAATAATATATAAAAGTTTCAGCATTCGGAGCTCAAGCCCAGATAAATATGAAACTCGAATGTCACATATAATCTTACTTACCATGTTTTAATTACCCTGCTTTATTCCCTTCTAAGCTTCCGTGTATTTCTACAAACAGCATAAGCAGTGCTCAATTCATTGCAAGACGAATACACGCAAATCACGAGATTGGGGAAATATAAAAAACAAATGCAAGTTCATCACTTAATGCTAAAGAAAGAGCAAATATGGACCATAAAAGCATTTCAGATATAGATACAACCTTTTTAATCGTTTCTCATATATGATCTGCACAAATATTCCCTGGATAATAAGTTATGGAGCATTTGCATCAGTCCATTGCAAATAAAGACACACAACTATTATTCTATAAGACTGCAAATAACAAAATATATTGATCGCACACACCAGATAGCAGCTGCAGCGCGAAGCGTGGATCAATGTTATTGAAAAACTATTAACACTGTCATACTGAAATTAAAAACGATCCACAGGAAACCGATGACAAAAAGGAGTTAAATCCTTACAACTTAATACGATTCACTGAAACATTAATCAAGATTTGAAGGAAAAGGGCTCACAGAAAGTTGAAATGGCGTTGCAGATTTGAATCTCGTCAAAAAGTCGAGTCTTTTCTTTTGAGCTCAAAACGCAATTTACATTCACAGTAGCGAAAACTGAAAAGGGGCTTCGGGGGTGGGAGTTTGAAAGAATTATTTTTTATTAATGGTTTAAGACTTTTATATATTTTGAATTAATAAATTTAATTGAAACCTTTAGAGCTTAATGGGATACAAAAATTTTCACTCCACACTTCATCCAACTCAAAATCTAATTTAAGTTTAACTCAATCTCTTTATCCTTAACTAGTAATTACCCGTGCGATGCACGGGACAATATTTTTTTAAACATTTTTTAATATTTAAATATTTAATTTAATGAACTTGTTATATTTGTAACAAAAGTAAACACGTTGGGCGCAAACTACAAAATTCATAAATTATTGAAAACTTCTTTGTACACAACGTTTTTCGTTTGATTTAGCGTCGAGTCATCGTCACCACAAACTAAAATTTTCAAACCACTTCGGGTGGTGACACGGGATACAACAACGTATAACTGTCCATGGCTAAACACAGACTTCTTAAGAAATAAACCAACATGCGACAACGATTGTCCCTGGCTCTTGTTGATAGTCATGGCATACGATACCATAATAGAAAACTGACGCCTCTAGAACTTGAAAGGAATTCGGACATCGGAAGGAGTAATAGCCATTCTAGGAAGCAACACCTTCTCGCCTGCGTGATCCCCAGTTAGTATCTTACACTCGATAACATAACTGGAGAGTTTTGTGACAACCAACCGCGTCCCATTGCATAGACCCATAGAATGATCCATGTTACGCAACAACATGACGGGAGTTCCAATCTTCAAATGCAATTGATGATTTGGAATTCCGGAACATTTGATACTATTTAAAAATTCAGGCGTGTGGATATCAGACAGGAAATCGTTATTAGAGTCAGACTTGCAAGTACTATCAGAACTTAAGTACATTTGACCGTCAGATAAATTCAACGATGTCATGTACTCATTGATAGACTCAACAACATCTAGCGTAGGCGCTAATATTGCCCTGTCCTTTAAATAACTGGGATCATCGGTTGCCTGCTTAAACGTTGGATAGGTGCTCTCTACAATTTGGGCAATCGGATCATCAGAGGGCTGAAGCATTATATCCTCAGGTATGTCAATCATTGCACAACCATCATTATCCCCTACTATGATTCCATCTCCAATGCTCGCTATCCAATTTGCGAACCGAGCAACCTCTTCACGTTCTTCTGAATTCCTAAGGCTTTCAAGACGCATGTTTTTCGTAAGCCGGAGCACAGTACAACTCCTCCAGATATCAGAAGCATTAATCGCAGCATTCACTATGTCCTGACGGCTACCCTTCGGTTTTACAGGAAGAATTTGTCGGAAATCTCCACCAAACACAACCGATTTGCCTCCAAATGGTTTGTCCTTGTTAGAAGGATCATTTGCTCCCATAATATCCTGCAATGATGTTTGGACAGCTTCGAAGCAATGCTTGTGCATCATTGGAGCCTCATCCCAAATAATCAGAGAAGCACGTATTATCAATTCTGCGAGACAACTTTCCTGACTGATATTGCAAGAGGATTCCTGGTGGGGATTCAATGGTATTCCAAATCGAGAATGAGTCGTTCGTCCACCAGGCAACAAAAGCGATGCTATTCCACTCGATGCTACGCACAACACTATGTCACCTTTGCATCTAATACCAGCAGATAACGTTCTCCACAAATAAGTCTTGCCCGTTCCACTATATCCGGATACAAAAAAAACACCGCCTCGACCAGAATCAACAGACGACATAATGGTTGAATAAACTCCTTTCTGTTCATCGGTCATTTTCTTAAGAAGCATTTCGTGTTCAGCAGCAAGAGCCTTTCGATCATAATTTAACTCATCCATAATCAGACGATTTGAACTTGAATGCATACTGTCATTTAAAATTAATACATAACCGTACGGTGCGCGTAACTGATAATAAATTATATTATATTCATTTCAAAATAACTGTCATTTTAAATTTTTATTCAAAAATTTGATTTGACTACAATGTAACTCCATAAAATAAATATTTTGGTAAAAAATTATCATATCGTTCAAATTTTCTAGAATTGTTGTCGGTTATCTTATCGTTCAAATTTATCAACTAAGTTTTTAAAAGTAAATTATAAATTTTAAATTTCATTAACCAATTTGTCGAATTATCACAAATATCTTATGGCAAGTTATTATGAGATTATGCAAAAATTTGACTTTCATACCCATACCAAATAAAATTTATCCACTTTTTTTTTTCAAAATTTCTAAATACACTTTTATACATACTAAATAAATTTAATACCATTTAAATTAATACATTTCATACAAAAATAGAATCACCCACTTTATATCATAAATTCAGACCTCTATTAATAACAACACATTTCTTACTTTAACTAAAAAATGACCATCAGATACCTCAAAGGAAATCGACCACTTTATATCAAACCGAATTTATTCATTTTGCCAACTTTATACTATAAATGATTAATTAACTTCTAGTTTTTTTTTTAAAAAAAAAAAATTACTAAATTTAGTAATTTAAAATTTTTAGGCTGGATTTTATCTTACATTTTAAGTAAATACAAACTTTATATCTATATATAGATAGATAGATAAATAGATTTGGCTTGATTCGTAAACATATTTAAATAATATAGTAAATTAGTAATCTATATATGTGAAGTGTGAATGTTAAATCAATATTATATCATATATAAAAGAATTAATAACAAACAAAAAAAATATGAAGCTTTAAAATATAGTCATACCAGCTAAATCAATCTAACTCGAAATTTTCAAGTTTTTGTAGCAATGAACGTTATTTTTTTAACACAATAACAATTTTGATTGAATCAAATCGGTTTGTTAGGCATAAAATTTACATTGCACCAATGTATAAGCCAATAGCATAAACTGTATATCTTAATTTCAGTGTCATTATTAATTGTCACTTTGACTTTTTTAATCTAACAATTTTGAAACGAAAAATAAAAATCTTGGGATAGAAATTAGGGATCAAAATTAATGAGAAATATCTGTTTTCAATTTTATATATGGATGTTGCGGCTAAGTGATATTAATTGGAATATGGATATTGAATGTTGTGGTTGTGATATTTATTAATGGAGGATCTTTATTTATATTGAAATTAATAGGTAAATATGTTTCCTTAATAAATTAAAATTATCCTAAAATAAAATCAAAATATTTTTGAAATTCGAAAATAAAACTCTATTGGCGGGATTTTTTGATTTTTTTCAAAAGAAATTACCAAGTTTAATAATTTTAAAAAATTTAGGCGGGATTTTAGCTTCTATTTAAAGTAAATATATATATATATATAGATGTAGATACTTTATATTTTCTAGCTCAGGAAATAGTTTTTGAGATATTAAACAGTAGTTGTGATAATAGGTTAGGTGATAATGTCAAAACAAATATTTAATGTGATTTATTTTTATAAATGTTATGAAATTTTAATTTATAAATATTTGTAATCTAATTAAAGGTTGCAAAAATATTTATGTGGATAAATGTTCAAATGCCATTAAGAATGGTGTACTTTGAAAATTCTAATAAATGGTTTTGAAATCTGTGGATAAATGTTCAAATGCCATTAATATGTTCTACATATTAGTGCAACAAAATCTTGATCAAATATATACAATTGCTATCTATGTCACAATGAATTGTGTGATTTCTTTCCAGATTCTTAAGAATGTGTTGTAATTATATAAATATAGACACCCAATTGATGGTGTGATTTTTTAAACAAAAAAACTGAAAAGTTTCTTCGATTCTATAAAAAGGTGTTGTAGTTTGATAAATTTCTACAACCAATGGTTGTGTGGTGGAGATTTTACAAAAGTAATGTTGTTAATGTGCAAAAAATAATGAAAAAAATAAATTCCAAAACACGTCATGGAGTCGTAATTTTGGAAAAGAATTAAAAATAAATTAGGTAATCGTAATATCTTGAATAATTACCGTAATTAATTATCTATGTTATCAATAGCAATAAATTAGTTACTATACACATTAAAAAATTAATATGCACATCTCATAAATAAATATTATACATATTATATATTTATCGTAATTAATTATCTATATACATTAAACAAATATTAGTCATATACATTAAACAATTAATATGCAAATCCCATAAATAAATATTAGTCATATCAAATGAATAATGACAATAATAATAAAAATAAATAAATAAAGAAACAAATATTATGCAGAACTCTGACGCGTAATATACGCTCAAAGAGAAAAACTGTTCAAGCACGTCTCTGCCAAAGAATCGCTCAGTGGGCAACAAATTTGCCGACTTTCACGGTTGGAAAAGTTTCTGGGTAGAAACACGCAACTTTTTTCTCCGGCAAGAGTCATCTTCTCCGTGCAGCAACACCCGCGCCTCTGACCTGGCAGTCTGGCACCCTCTCGCAAGCCTCCTTTAGCCATATCCGGCCAAAATCCGTCAACTGCTTGAATCTTTCATGTCCGGCGCTATTCTCACTCAGCCCTTTGCACAAGAGGCAACCAGTCATGGTGAGTTCATTCATCTCCAGCAGCCCGCACATAATTCCGGCCAGCAACTCGGGTCCGGCGCTATCCGTTCAAGCCGTCTCGGCCCAGCAATCAACGTCAAGAGTCCACTTCAACTTGGCCGTGTCACACGAAAAATCTCGCCCAATTGTTCTACCCAAAAATTTTACCACAAATGCGTCGGTCATCTTCTCCGGCCTTCCTACAACTTTCGGTCGTCTTCTCCGGCCAGTACGTCATCTTCTTCGTCTCTTCCGGTCAGCATCAACAACATCTAGCCTCGGAACACCCATGTCCATCCGGCACTTGGGAGCTCAACCACGAACAGACGTGCACAATTTTCTAGCCGAAGCTTGGCCGAGCTCAGTCGAGCATTGCACCTCCTTCTCCAGCCGTTCCTAACATGGCCATCACTAATGAAATTCTTCAGCCTGTGTGTACAATACGTTCGGTCCGCCCGACACCCAACATGGCCATCACCCGGATCGACATGGCCATGTCTAGCACGTTCGGTCCGTCCGGCACTTAGGCCGTCGGCTATGTAGATTTTCAATATGAATTGAGATTTTTTTATATACAAACACACCTGAGTATCTGAATAAGTTTACTCAAAGTATGGGGCTAATGATAGATCAATCATCAATAATTTTTTTTGTATTCCTCTCCTCTTTCTGCAGCTTCTTTCCATAGTTTTATGTGGACCTGAAACAAAATAGAAACAAAGATCAACAGAGGGCCAAAGGCAGCTCTCATTAGTTGATTATTTTTAAAAGCAAGCCATGTGATGCATAAACAGGTTCTAAAAGCGTGGATTCTCATCATTACAGGAATACCGATTCAAATGACCACTTATCGGACAATTAGGTAGTAAATTGATAGATAACCATTCAGACAATATATTTATGGTTCCATTAAGATAATTCAAAATTCGTCTCATTTATGCTTATTCTAAGTCATATATCCTTTTAAAGTGGCTGCAGATTGCTTTAGTATGTAACCGTAAAAGCCAGTACTTGATAATTATTCATCCAATATGCCCACTTGATAACTTTAAAAATGACATGTGAAGTTAGTGGTACTGTGGTACTACAATACGCACATTTCACCTGACTAAACAGTGACCGAGATCAACATTTTTTCTGTCCAAAAAGCTAATTAGAACAGCTATTTGCCAAACAACTTAATTAGAGAATTTTACGGATTTTGACCCCAACTCTATCATTACCAATCAAGTTAGTGGATAATCAGTTGTACATGACTGGATGACAAGCAAGATATTTATTTATTTATTTTAAACAAACAATCTAATTTGAGAAATTTAAGTTATATGAGATACCTGTCTTCCATCCAGGCAACACTATAGAGATCACCCAAGCAAGTTTCGTATTCAGGGGGAGGAGAAGGGTACTGGCCAGAGCAATAGGTTCCCCAGCTACTTTCATATGCATTAGATGCAGTTGTCACGTATATACCCAAATCTTGTGCAAGAAGACCTTCAAATATACTCCCAGATTCACAAGCTTCCAAGTAAAAAACCTATAACACCAATTGTCAAATATTTTCATCTTTCTTTCTCTTTTCTTTGTTTCTTGTTTAGAATATAATATAGTTTGTTTACCAAGCTCTTGTATGTTCCGGAATCATGCTTCTTTCTCAAGACGTCATTTAGATCATCGACATATTTTCTCAAGAAGTCATTTAGATCATCGGCGTATATAAGGACCGGTGGGCATCCCTGAGAACATCATGAGATTTTAACATCATTACATGAATAATTGATAAGAGATTTGATTAAAAAATGAGAAGAGTCGAGATTTGATTACAAACCGAGTATTCCAGGACCACCATGATCGGCATAATAGACAAAGATATGATCATTGGGAGAACTATCCAAAACCTTCCCACTACCGCCAGTGAGTCCAGTTTTATTGCCAAGAAGAACAACATAAAAGTTGTTTACCGTCACTTCATCTCCAACATAATCCTGTTTCAAAAACTCCATAAATTTCCATAAGAATTGAATTGATTGAAATGAAACAGAAACACAAACCTGAGTATCTGAATAAGTTTACTCAATATGGCCATGTCGTTCGGTCCGACGCCCGTTTGACATGTCCCTGATGCACATGGCCGGAGATGGTGGCTTCGCTGGACCGGGAGCTCATGGCGATTGCCGGCGGCGATCTCGGCGGAGGAGAAGGGGAATTTGGCATTGAAAATTGGGAGTTTATATGGAAGTTATATAAGATAAAAAAATGTGCTGTGGGTTTTTTTTATTAAGATATCTACAAACATTTGGCAAAAAAATCTCACCATATCTTCAAAAAATCACTCGCGGGCATAAATATAGGCATAAAACAATGAGTATAATCTTCAAAAATATTGGAATTGAACTGGGCGGGCATATGAAATTTTTTGAACAAATCTTTTCTCATTATAGTAAATCCCATGATTTTTGGGATGCAACAACAAAATATGCAATCATATGTATATATCTTATCAGGTTAAGGGTATATCCATTGCTAAAAAAAAGGAATATCTAATGCCTTAATTAACGGAATTATCAATTTTGTATTCCATTTGCTTAATTAATGAGATTATCCGATACTTAATTAACGGGAATACCAATTCCATAATCCTTATCACGATTTTTTTTCAAAATTTGATTGAGATTACATAAATAGAAAGTCAAAAGTCAACTCAATTTATTTTAGGTTTCTAAAAATGATTTTTACATCAACCTTTTTAGATATATATAGATATTATCAATATTATTAAACAGTATCACTTAATCATTCTTAACACCACATCTACTTTAATTCATTATTCATTCACTTACATAGTTTTAACCACAACAATCAATTCATATCATCTTTTTCCTACTTTCACATCAAATCAACTTTAATTATTTTATTTTAAATATTATTTTAATATAAATTTAAAAATTTTACTAACAACTAATCATATTATTTTTTTTCAAATTAACTCTGGTTGACCAAAAACTCCACTTTGGGTGAAAATTTTTGTATCTAATCAAGCCCTAAAAAGTCCAAATAAATTGAAGTAAAATATGTTTGTCCCATTGTTTTGCTAGTTTTTCTTAGAAGAAACGGAAGGGTAGGGGATTAAGGTCGGACCCCCAACTTGCATATAGTTAAGATTCTAAAAGAGCTACATAATCACAAGTCTACGTGTCCAAACAACAAACAACAGAAACAAAAAAAAAAGAAAAAGAAAAAACAACCAAAGCGAAAAAAGTCTGAGCCTGGGCTGATAGGTGCCTAGACGAGCAGTCTGCACCACGAGTGGGCCAAAAACATACAAAAATAAAAAACGACTACCCAAACCTGAACGATGGATAGTTGTTAAGTAGTTTTTAGCCGAGTACGGAATAAATCCCGACCTCGAGTTGTGTCTCTTGAGGAAGGTTGTTCGGAGCTTTGTTCACTATCTAGTCGTCAATTCACATAACCGAAAACAAGGTCCTAAATATGCTACTCACTTGAATGTGATTGGAATTAAGCTAATTTGCGCTAAGAACTGAAAGCAATTGATAAAATGAAGGAGATTTGGAAAAAAAACATTCGCATTTCGGTTGCACGGAATATCCATAACTCAAGAAAACAAAAATAAACTATGAGAAAACATGCGAGCAAAGTGACCCTAAGTAATGTAACACGAGCTTTCTAGACTAAATTATCACGCTTTAAGCAAAATCGAGACCTTTACACAAGATAAGCACGTATTAAATTCCTAACATACTTACGCAAGCAATGAAAATAAAGCAAAGTCCTAAAATCGAGCATCACATAAGATTCAAGCTAAAACACCAGCTCAACAAGCAAGAAGGAAAACAAACTCGAAGTAATAAGCCCTAATTAAGATACTTATTCTCCTATCGCAAGCTCAAATGAAAATAATGTGGAAAGTTCGAATCTTGGACAAAAATAAAGTCGCCGCAATTTTGTCAGAAAAATCGAGTCATGGACCTCCTAACACAAAGCTAGAGAGGAAAAGAAAAAAAAAACTAATTTCCAAACTAAAAAGTTGAGAAATGAGGGGTGATGTCCAAAAATACAAAGCATAATGTCCATTTATAGCTACACTACAAACACATACTAAAAACACACACATTTAGTAGAAAACACTCGCGGCGTGGCCAAATAACCCGCTGGTCTTGGGCTTGCACGGGCGCTAGCAAAGGCAGCACATACGTGGTCGTCGGCTGGAGCGCTGGCACGCGGGCGTGCGCTGGCGCGCGGACACGGGGTGCTAGGGCGCGGGTACAGGTAGCAGGGCAAGCGCGACACTCGCTTGGGCAT